GCTCTGGAGAAGTCCTGGAGATGAGCATGGGAGGAGGAGACAAGGGAGCTAGAGAGTAGGAGGTCTTGTGAGGAGCGGAGAGTATGGTTTGGGTGATATTTGGAGACAAGAGAGGGGTGGCAGATACAGAAAGGTTAGTAAGGCGGATAAGTCTGGCAGCAGCATTCATGATAGACTGAAGAGGAGATAGCCTGCAATGAGGTAGGCCAATGAGGAGGGAGTTACAATAGTCAAGGTGAGAGATAACAAGGGAGTGAATAAGTTGCTTCGTAGTTTCAGAGGTTAAGAACGGGCGTATCTTGGAGACGTTACGGAGGTGAAGTCTACAAGATTTGGACAGTGATTGGATTTGGGGGTGAAAGGACAGATGGGAGTCCAGGATTACACCGAGCACCCTGGCATGAGGGGAGGGAATGATGATTGTGTTATTGATCTTGATGGAGAATTCAGGGGAGGGGGCATGGGCTGGGGGAAATACTAAGAGCTCAGTTTTGGAAAGATTGAGTTTGAGGAAGTGGAGTGACATCCATGCCGATATGTCACATAGAGGAGAGCGGGCTGTGTCCATGTCCACTCTGCATGAGCGCAGCAGACACAGACCTGTCATCCGGCAGCTCTGCTAAGCTCAGCAGAGAATCAGCAGAGAATCAACAGAAGGATCCCCTGCTGAGTAAAATCGGGAAACAGGCCTAAGTCTTGCTACAGTTATGAGCTGTACAATCCAATCTCTCTCATCTTCTTTTCACTGACATCTGAATATACACAAAGTCTGAAAAGTCCTTTTCAGTTGTCTGCTGAATTCTTTTCTGAATAGGAGTGATCAACTTCTGTTAATCCGAAAGGTTTACATAAACCTCAAGAATGTATTTTTTTTCTGTCATTTCTTATTAAAAACTACCAATGCATTCAGATAAAACTTAAATCCTTAATAGGAAACATATTAAATATTTACCTGTTACTTTTTATTTACCATGGCATAAATTTTAAAAGAAACAAGATATTTATTTATGTCTCATGTTATTCTTTGCTTTACAAATAACACACTGTGATATTTTCATTTCAATTAATTAGACTCAATTTTAATTTGACATAATCCTTTGCATAATCTTCTTAACATTTCCTGACACATGGTGAGGCCAGACAAAATGCATTAGCTCTCTAATTTGCTTATCATTAACTTATACAATAAAAGTCAGATGAAAATGCTTTCTTACTATAAATGAAACATAAATATTTATGAGTGATAAAATGTCAGCAATTGTGTGGACTGTGATAAAAATGAAACTATTCATTAACCATTTGTTAATTGTGCTTATTAAAAAGTGCATTAAAATGAGCACAAATTTAGCTATGCAGACACAAATGTATCAGAAATTAGGTGGTTTATTAAATGAGTAATTATTATACAATAACGTTTCTTTATGGAATGATAAGTAACTAATTAGACATAAATTGTGTCAAAAGCAGAGTTTCTATACTCTGTTTCATCTGAAGTATTTTACAGCATTAAACATTTACATAAATATATATTAAAGGACCCAGTGAACAAAAAACATAGAAACATAGATGAGTAATGGCAGAAAAAAGACCAAGTGGTCCATCAAATCTGCCTCACTTTATCACAAATTTGGACTTTTTTTTGGATAATGGATTTATTTTTTTGTTTTTTATTATGATCACTTTATTGATATATTGAAAATTTTTTTTGTCAGTTTGTATATATAATAGTATATTTCACACACTTTATATAGTTGGATAATAGGAGCGCAACATTTATAGATATATGGTTTAAATTGCACAGTTGGAGTATGTGTTAATTGTTAGGTTTTTTTGTTTAGCTCGCAAGTTACACACACCTGTATTTTGTAAATGTACTGATTCTAGACCCCAGACCTGCATTTATTTGTATCTTTTATATGTGGCTTTTTTGTTTCTCTACCTTTTTGTGTCATACCAATACAAACAAATGAAATAAACACAAGAGCATTTAAACATTTGTAATTGCAACAATTTTCTGGGTGAAGTGGTGCATTATCTGACAGAAATGCAGGGGTGCCAATATCTTTGGCCATGACTGTATGCCTGGGGTTCAGTTTTAAAAAAACTCCACTTCACTGACAATTCAACTGATTTGCGTCAAATTAATCTCTCTGGGTTTCATATATCCATTGACCTGCTGTCAAATATGTGTAAAAACTTTACTCTCTCCTCTTTCTTCTGAATTTTATTTTAGAAACCTTTGTCATTATGTGTCCTTTTATTAATGTATTAACCTAGTTTTAATGTGTTACATCTTTGTTTTTATGTGGTATTTGTCCTGCAGTTGAGTTCACGTGTGTGTTAAAGGGTGATGGTTTCTACATCTATGTGTTCTTTTAGATGCTGTATAGAATGTCCTGCTCAAGTTTCTTTTGTCACAGCCCTTTACTAGGACACATCTTGTAAATGATACTAGAGCATTCTTTAATTATCCTAAATTATTCACAATAACCTAGCACTGGTAAAGGTATACAAGTTAATTGTATTTATGGAAGAGCTTTGATGTTGCCATAAAAATAAGCAAATTACATTATGTATAATTCCAATTGTGACATGAGATAGTAGTACAGGAGCTGGCCAGAGTCCTTGAGTCTGTGGCCTCCAGCAGAATGTGCAAACCTCTGCACTCCTTTGCTCAGCTGATCTTTTACAAAGTAGCAATCAATTAACGTGATTCCTCTACTACCTTGTTAGACATTAACAGCTATGTTTTTGTGAACCAGAATGTATGTTTATGCAACTATCTGTAAAAAACATATTTTTTTTGGGCAGTTGGATAGTGTCGATATGTCTTTATGTTTGAAGGTATGTATTTATTCTGAAAATTAGGATCAAACAATCTTTTGCCCTTCTGCTCCACAGGAGGTTTCTCTCCTCCCAGAGTTCACCATAGGACACCGTTTGACAGGTGTACCGTCCCAGTCAAACTCCCCACCTGCCACTGTCCCCTGAGCATGTTGTGCCCTGCAATTAAAGCCAGAACCAAAAGCCCCTTGAGGCTCATCCCAGCACCTTACCAGGTAAGTCTTACCATCTTTTAATGCCTATGGTTGCCTTAAAATTTCTTAAAATTTCAATTAGAAGGTCACTATACAAAAAATATAAATGTCAAACCATAATACTAATAGAAGTTATCATACACAAATATTGGTAAAACACTTTTATAATACAATGTTAACTTTTAGTCTATGGTGAAACAACACATTTAAATACTTAAGCAGTCAGAAAATCATTAGCAGAAATTCACTCTTTAAACACTCAAGCTAAAACAAAATGTGAATGATTGGAGCCTAGGAAATAATTAGGCAGTATCGGTATAGCAATTACATCGGAACATAGAAATTGATTTCCACTGCTGGGATATAGCAAATATAATAATCCTGCATTGCATGTGTATCACAATCAGCTGAATGCAGGCCAAGGGGATTAACCTGGGTGCACTTATACAGTGGTAGATAGACATAATGCAATTTTGCCCAAAAATGCAGCTATATGCATAGTCACGTCCTATAACTTACAATCTACAATACTGATTTCATCTTCAGAACCTCTGTAATTAATGTGTTTTGTTTTAAAGGAATGAGGTGGCAGAGAGAGAGAGAGAGAGAGAGAGAGAGAGTGTGTGTGTGTGTGTGTACTGCACATTAACCCACTGGGATTTTTAAGAATGTATAAAGAAACATATGAGGCAGGTCCAAAAGTTTGATTTGTTTTGTCTTTTTCAGTCTCACTCATTTTTTCTACTTTAAAATGTTGTTCAGACGTATGTTGATTGTCAGGGAATAGAAAAGTAGAGGGAAGAGCATTGGTGAGCCAAATCTGAGTTTTGTCATTTTAAAAGAAGAAACAATAAGAATAGTCTAATGGTATGTAGTTGAAGTGCAAAAGCATGTCTCAAACAACTGAAACATGGCTCTTGAGAGCCAACCAAGGGAAATCAAGTAACAAAACCTTGCAAAACTTCAACTATAAAAGAGTGCCAAAATCTGAAGTTTTTTTTCATCACTCCTGTCTTTAACTTTTAGAGGTAGTTACCCAGAAAAAATAACTTCATCACCCAGGGCAAAGGGTGGCTCTACAAAAAGGAAACCTATAGCCTTTAAATTGCATTGACTTACACTATATTGCCTAAAATATTGGTATGCCTACCTTTACATGCACATGAACTTTAATGGCATCCCAGTCTTAGTCTGTAGGGTTCAATATTGAGTTGTCCTACCCTTTGCAGCTATAACAGCTTCAACTCTTCTGGGAAGGCTGTCCGCAAGGTTTAGGAGTGTGTCTATGGGAATGTTTGACCATTCTTCCAGAAGCGCATTTGTGAGGTTAGGCAATGATGTCTGACGAGAAGGCCTGGCTTGGAGTCTCTACTCTAATTAATCCCAAAGGTGTTCTATTGGGTTGAGGTCAGGACTCTGTGCAGACCAGTCAAGTTCCTCCACCCCAAACTCGCTCATCTATGTCTTTATGGACCTTGCTTTGTGCACTGATGCACAGTCATGTTGGAACAGGAAGAGGCCATCCCCAAACTGTTCCCACAAAGTTGGGAGCATGAAATTGTCCGAAATGTCTTGGTGTTCCCTTCACTGGAACTAAGGGGCCAAGCCAAACCCTTGAAAAACAGCCCCACACCATAATCACCCTGCACCAAAATGTACACTTGGCACAATGCAGTCAGGCAAGTATTGTTCCCCTGGCAACCGCCAAACCCAGACACATCCATCAGATTGCCAGACAGAGAAGCATTATTTGTCACTCCAGAGAACACGTCTCCACTGTTCTAGAGTCCAGTGGGGCCATTCTTTACACCACTGCATCTGATCCATTGCATTGCACTTGGTGATGTAAGGCTTGGATGCAGCTGCTCAGCCATGGAAACCCATTCCATGAAGCTCTCTACACACTGTTGTTGTGCTAATCTGAAGGCCACATGGAGTTTGGAGGTCTGTAGCTATTGACTCTGCAGACAGTTGGCAACATCTGTGCACTGTGAGCTTCAGCATGAGCTGACCCTGCTCTGTCATTTTACGTGGACTACTACTTCATGGCAGAGTTGCTGTTGTTCCCAGTTGCTTCCACTTTGTTATAATACCACTAACAGTTGACTGTGGAATATTTAGTAACAAGGAAATTTCACAGATGGACTTATTGCACAGCTGGCAACCTATCACGGTACCATGATTGAATTTACTGAGCTCCTGAGAGCAACCCATTATTTCACAAATGTTTGTAGACGCATTCTGCATGCCTAGGTGCTTGATTTTATACACATGTAGCCATGGAGGTGATTGGAACACCTGAACTCAATGATTTGGAGTGGTGTCCCAATACGTTTGGCAATAGTGTATTATACTGGAATTGCATGGGCCTATTACACTGGAAAAGATAGTCTTAGATTGGGGCTAAGACTATCAAAAGTTGCTGGCATTCCTTCCATCAAATGATTTAAACTTCTGAATCTCCTAGTAAAAACAGGTTTTACCTGGGACACAAAAAGTCAGTTGTGTTGCTTCATTCAGGAAATTAAATGAATTGAGACTCTCTAGTCCATGTAAACCCATATTATATCCCCAACTGCAGAAAATGACTAGGACACTATTCTAAAGGAGGCTCAGCAGTTAGTACATAATGTAAAAAAATGTATTGGATTTAATAATCTGAAAAAGAAATTCACACGGTTATGAATTAAAATAGATCTATTTCTTGATCTGTTATTAATATCTGTCATCTGGACTGTCTGATGCATTTATTAAAAAGAGGTGTACTCTTAATCGCCAAATCATACTCCATGCAGTGACATATGATACAGTATTCTTTTTATGATACAGTACATCTTTTTTCATATAGACTACCAACCTTTGTCAACCTTTTTAACCCTCCAAAACCCTTGAACTAACTTTCAGCTATCAAGGAACATCTGCAAAAAATATTTTACATACAGCTCACAGTACACTAGCTTGATTAGGAAGATGGAGAAAGTTTTTCATAACAGAGTGTAGCATAACAAAAGTATTTAACAACCAGCGAAAATCTCTTTTTAACACCCACATTCTATATGTAGCATTACTCCCTTAGGAGTTGCTGATGAATTGGGTGTCTTGCACAGCCAGGCATCACACATCTTCACAAAAGCTTTCGTTCAGTCAGAAATTGGTCCTTGAGCTTTGGTTTTGTTGTTTATTGAGGGGATTTGAACTGGGATAGGGTTAGGTGTGTACAGGATGCCCAAGGGTACTGCTAAACAGAGAACAACTTCCTGGAACTATGTACAAGCCTTCTCCGCAGCACAATCTTTGTTGGAGTGCTAGGTAGCGTCTCTCGATGTACCGCCCCAGACTCTAGATGAACTCACTCTTCACCCAGCAATCTGGAGGTATCTCTGAGCAGTGAATCCGTTTCCTGTCACTTTAAGTGGTAAACAGTCACTGGTAGATAGCTAATCTGGTTTTCCACCAGTGCTCCTTCCCCTATCCGCCCAGGGGGTGTACTCATTCAGATCCTCTCCTGTACCACTTGTGGGTTGGTGGGTGCTACCAGGCCTATCAGCTGGGCCACTCCTTCCCTGCCATACTGGTGGTCCTCTGTCAGGGCGCCGGTGAGCTCTCAGCTTTCTGCTTTTGCAGCTCAAGGCCCACTGGGCCTCCTCACAGCTTCCTTCAGCTTCATATCATCCACCCAAACTCTTCCTCCAACACTCTCCTCCAACTCTCGTGCAACTGATCAGGCTCCAACACTTTAAAGGGTGCCAGGCCCCTTGCCAACCTTTTGTTGGGAATTGGCTAGGCTCCCTCAGAAGTACAGCCAGCCACTCCACAGATCCACCCACTACCTCTAATGCCTTCCTCCAAAACCCCTAGAGCAGGGGGAAATTCCAGAGGGGCTGGCCTGCAGAGCCAAAGCAGGTCTTGAGCATGGCAACAGCACGGTCTCAGAGAGCAAAATGGGGCCTGACTGGTCTGCACCCAAGAGGGAGGATTCCAGGAGGATGGCATGTCCCTATCCTGTCCTTGCTCATCTGGAACCTTTCCCTACCGCTAATCACTATTCTTGACAGATGGGAGACCTGTCCCTATGCTATCCGTTTGCACAAAGCTTGGGAGCCAGGGTCTTAAGTAGACTCTGTCTGATCCAAGATGGCCTGCTAGAGTAACACCCAACCGTATCACTTCCCTAGTTCCGCTTAACATCCTCTCCCTCTGCAATGCCACTGTAGTTGAGCACCACCTGCAGTGGAGAAAATACACTACACTTGCCTACATGCTCAAGGAATATATTCTGATGCACTTTACAAAGAGATATCAGCCTTTTAGGCAAGTCCCTGCCCCAGTGGATCTCATGATCTATTTTCACTACAAGGTTAAAGATCTTAGTGTCACTTACAATAATTAGAAACCGTTGGGATTTGGTGCAGAAAGATAGTTAGAACTTATAAACATCTAATGGAACAGCACAATTACTACAACCAGGGGCGGACTGACAACTCATGGGGCCCCCGGGCAATAGGGGATCATGGGGCCCCTCTGTCCTTGCCCAAACACAAAAAAGCCTATGAAAAAGGTACTAGAGGCATCTCATGGGGCCCCCTATTGGCCCCGGGCCCTCGGGCAGCGCCAAAGTTTCCAAATGATCAGTCCGCCCCTGACTACAACCAATTTCTAGTAATTCCTTTTTCTTCATAGGCAAGGAGGAAAGCATTTTGAAATATGAATTTCACAGAAGAAATTCAGACCTGTGGATAACGTAATACAAATAAAATCTCATTGGTTGCAATTTTCTGCAAAAGATCTGCACACAGACAATTTTGCACACATACCAGATCCACATTTTATTTGTAGATTTCCTAAATCTACAGGCTTAAAGCAGAACTAAATCCTCCTATCTTTTTCAGGAACGGAAGCAGCCATCTTACCCTCTATTTGATCATTAACTACCATTGTGCTGCATGTGTGATCCGTTATGACACCAGACATTTGATGGTTTGACAGTTTGGTTGAGAGCACAAGCAAATGTGACAGTTAGCATTCTCAGCACGTGCCAGGAATGTAACTGTTTTTTGAAACGGTTAAATCGATGGGTTTAGTTCCGCTTTAACAAAGCATGGAAATGTGCACTGTTGGTCTTGAATCTTTGCAGATTATCCTCGAAAATGTGACCCCAGTTTATGTCCTATCTCAGCGGCTGGACCCATAAGTTAACAATTAAAGCATATTCCCAGGACAACCATTTGGGATATTTTCTTGTAGAGACATAGGACCCCATTTGCAAATTTCAAGTTTTCTTTAAAAAGAAAATTAACAGTTTTCATTGGCAATGCCACCAACTGAAAACATTCTGGTGCTGAGGAATAGATGGAAGTGGCCCTTTATAACAGAAGTTACTTCATTTTTTCCAGGGTTTTGTGGGAGATGGGGAATTTCCATTTTTTTAATGTGTACTTTAATAGTTGGTTAATGTCATAAAAGATTGTATAATCTACAGCGTTTGGCAACATGATACTAAATAAACTTAAAATAAAGGATCTTCTTTCTTCTGCTAATATAGCACATCTAATTGTATTATAAACAGAAAGGATGGACACATGTTATTCAGTTGCCAATTTAATCACACCAACCTTATTTGCAATTACACTTTTGAACTGTTACAGATTATCTTTCATAACAAGCATCTGTTGTGTACTGCCTTCAATCAGTAGACACAGGGAACGTCACAAATATGTCGACTTGTCAACATCGGGGATAAGAAAAATATGAACCTTGGAGGCTTCATGCACATGGGCAGATGATTTTATGCTCAAAATATGCTGCATTTTTGTCTGCCAGAATTTGGCAGAAAATATGGCTGTAAGTATGTGTGGTTATGGCTGCATGGCTTGGAGCACAGGTGCATTCTACTGGGCAAAAGTTTAATTATTCTCTGGCCATTAGAATACATTTACACTCTTTATGCTCCTTTTTATGTGCGTTTATATGTGTTCATATGCATTTATGGGCATATGAGTGCAAATGATGCTCATGAGCATCGGAATACACCTTTGGTGGGGGTTTTTTTTTGCTGTAATCGCTCCTCTTCCAATATGCCTGTAAATGCCTATGTGTGCATGACCACATAGACTAACACAGAGCTGCTTTTACAGGAATAAAAAAAAAAAGGTAAACACCTGTATAAGCAGCATTTTTTAAGCCCTGCGTGCATGAGCCCTGAATCAACAAAACTTACAACCCTCATGAAAACACATAATGCTCTGGAAGACCAAAGCCCACTACTGCTACAGGGCGGCAGGTGTGTGCAAAATCACATATATATATGATTATGCATTTCCAGATAGGAGGCACACATGAGCCGTGTGCGCGCTCTCTACCCGCATTGGTGGCCTCACCTGTCGATCACCGGGTCCTAGCCGGAGATTTCCTGCTGGCACTCGGTGATTACCTTGTATCACCAATGGGGGATAGACCTGTATGTAAACAATACAGATCTCTCCCCGTCAGCTCCTGCACATTGCTTTATATTGCTCTGCATAGCCAAACAATACAAAGCAGTGTGCTTACACAGTAAAGCACACACACAGCACACAGTTAACCCTTTGATCACCCCACATGTTAACTCCTTCCTGCCCAGTGTCATTAGTACAGTATCAGTTATTTTTATTAGCACTGATCACTGCATTGGTGTCACTGGGGATGTCAGTGAAAGTTAGTTCCAACCAGTGTCGGAATGCCCGCCGCAGTTCTGCTATAAGTTGCTGACCGCTGCAATTACTATAATATATATATATATATAAAAAATTTCCAATATCTATACTGCCATTGGTAGACGCAATAACTTTCACATAAAGCAATTAATTTACATGTATTGGGATTTTTTTTTCAGCAAAGACATGTAGCAGAATACATTTTGGCCTAAATGTATAACGAAATTTGATTTTGTAAATTTTTTTACTGGACATGTTTAATAGTAAAAAATCAAAAATATTGTTTTTTTTCTCACAATTGTTGGTCTTTTTTTTCTTATAGTGCAAAAAAAAAAAAAAGCACAGGCAATCAAATACCACTGAAAGAAAGCTCTATTTGTGGGAAAAAAGAACATCAATTTCATTTGGGTGCAGCGTTGCATGACCGCGCAGTTGTCAGTTAAAATAATGCATCACCGTATCACAAAAAATATCCTGGTCAGGAAGGGGGGTACATCTTCTGGAGGGCAAGTGGTCAACTGAGCATACATGTTGTGTACAATTGGTCTGATGTTAACCACTTCAATACTTTTACCCCCTTCCTTCCCAGGACAATTTTCAGCTTTC